AGCTCCAGACACACGAGAACTGCTCAGGGACAGGACAGTCACTGTTCCCTAATCACGCACCTCGCAGTTCGCAATGCCTAACCCTGACCCCACCACCTCCAGACACACGAGAACTGCTCAGGGACAGGACAGTCACCGTTCCCTAACCACACACCTCCCACTTTATGACCCTCCCATTTGCCAGAAGCAGCAGCTCCCTCACAGCACACAGAGTCTCGTGAGGAAGTAAAGCGGGCGTGCAGACCGAGTCTGGAGCTCATCCAAACTCAAACTCTCCTTCCCCTCTGCCACACCTGCCCTTCAAGCTCATCGGACACTTTCAAGCAACTTCTGCGGTCACTGATGACTGGGACCCTGACTCGCTCTGCAGTCGACGGCTCGTTTTAACTAGGGCTCTGTGGCCGAAAATAAAAGGGTGTAGAGGACTGTGATTAAATAGTTGTGCTAGGTCCTATCTCATGTTGTCTCGTTCTTTAAGGAAAATTCCCTTGCCAAGTTCCAGGGCTAATTCAGAATGAAGGTTTTGCTTCCCAGTGGAAATGTAACTTTGTGCACAACATGCTGCTTTTAATGTACGCCTTGCTATCTTATTGCAAAACGTGGAACTCAAAGCAAACCAAGGGTTCATTTTATAACACATAATATGAATTATCATCATTATTCAGATATAAGACAAACCTCTGGGAGCTGGGGCTGGACTGTACACTGGGCAATGACTCACTTTCATGGCGTGCCAACTGTGTGCAGAGAGGGATTTTGAAAACAACTTGCCTGCACCAAATACATGTAGCAGTCCGGGCCACAGGGTTTGCTGTCAACCAGGTTCTCCATGTTCTTGCGTTTGTACGTGTTTGGAGTTGCGTGGAAAGCTGGAAAGAAAGGGCAAGACAAAATACTGGCGTCAGCCGGCTTTGCGTCTTCAGCTCGTACTCCTAGCAGTTCTAAGGTTCAGAGTTTGGATCTTTAAAACCAAAAACGAAGCAAACTCGAATAGCCATGCAAGGAAGCAATCATAGTTGCCCTTTTCAATTCTGACGTTAACGTTCTGCAGAGGCCTCCCGCCAGCCTCTCGGAGAGCCTGCAATTATTTTCCCCGATAGTCCCCCGGGGCTCCCGTCCTCCTGGGGCGGGATGAGCACCCCTCCCCCCCCCCCCGGGGACAGGCCGCGGGGATACTCACGGTGGAGGAAGCAGTCGTACTTGAAGCAGCGCCTGCAGAAGAGCGTGTGGAAGGAGTGCAGGCTCTGCTCCCGCTGGACGGACTTGGCGTTCGGCCCGTCGATGTTGGGAGTGCACTCTGGGGGGAGGGCGCCGGGGAGCTGCTGCTCCGTCAGCTCCTTGTACCTGAGAGACACAGGCGGGCACGCGCGGGCTGAGTGAGATCGCGCAGGAACGTCGCTCTACCCTTTCTGCATGGCACACAAAATCCCTCCTGACCTTTTCTCTTATGTGAAGCACAAAGCTCACAGTGGGTGTGAGGGAAGGTGGTGGTGGTGGTGGTGGGGGAGGAAGGGATGCTGCCCAGACTGCAGAGACTCAAAAATGAACCACCATACAGACTACGCTGACATGTGAGAGCACAGCCCCACACACCGCGCGGGGTTCTGGATTGTCATGTGCATCAGCAACAGCACATCACAGACGATCAGCCGCGTACTGTCCGCGATGAACTGGCATAACCACAAAGTGCGACAGCAAACGGTGATAAAATGAAATACGAGCAGTGTGCAAGCACCAGTCACGGACAGGAAGTCGGCAGAAAGACTTACTTTTCTTTCAGCTCCTCCGGGGAGCCTTTGTCTGGGAACATGGACGAAATGGCTTCGAATATCTTGTCAGAGGGAAACCTTTTAGAAAAGTCCCGCTCTTTGCCTGAAAATAAAAATGGCAACCCGGTGGTGAAAAGACGTCAGAGACCCGCTTGAGCATTATAATCCAATCCAAAACCCCAACATTCAAATTTAGACATTCAAAAAATTGGGAAGACGTTCACTTCAAAACAGGGTTTTAGTTCAGACGTTTCAAAGATTTGAGCTCTTTATTTAGAAGATCTCTGCAGGGATGTGTTCAACCGGTTAAGTCAAACTGTAAGAGTTCAGGTTCAGCTGACTGTGGTAATTAAGCGCACGTCATCCGGACTCCTGTACGACTGACAGTAAGAGTCATGCTCTACCTTCGGTGCTCAGAGCCTGCTCCTTTCTGGGGTCGTTCCCATCACACAGATCCACTTTCTCCAGCTGCTCCTCATCCTCCTCCTCCTCCTCCTCCTCTTCCTCGTCATTGTCGCTGTACTGATTGAGAGCGTTCACAAGCTCCACAAAGATCTCATCATTGATGAAGCCACATTCTTCATGGTATTCAAAAACATATTCAAAAACTGAGTTACAAACAAAAAAAAAAGGAAACGCGATTCTTCACGACAGATTTAAAAAGACTTCGAGCTTTCATCTCAACCTTCAGCGCGATCGGACGGGGCTCTGCGCACGCCGAGACCTCCCAAGCGCCTCTCGGTCACCCTCACCTCGATCTCCATGCACTTTGCCATCGTAGTTTTTAATGAGCTCCTCGATGAAGGTGCCGTCCTGATCCAGAATTTCATCACCCATGTACGGGATATTGTGCAAAACAGTCTCATCCTCCACCTACAGCCGAAACAGCCGAAACAAAGCAATTTCTCAAAGCCGCAGTAATGAGAAGTACTCATGTCTGTACCACTACTCTATCTGCCCTGCCAAAAAAGAAAACTGCAAAGGCTGAAAGAGTGGAGAAATTCACACCCTTTTCCCCAAAAAACTGTGCTCTGACCCCATTCTTTTCTTAACTATACGAAACAAAATCATTCTCACGAGGCATCTGTTTCCCTACCGATTATACAACGTGCTGCGTGGCCTTTAAGTCAGAAGAGCGTTTTAGCAATAAGATATTACAAGTTGTAACTAGCCTTTATGAAGACGTGATCTTTTAAACACATCCCCATTTTGACATGCTCCGCTCTGCAAGCCATCTCATTTCCGTGCACTTCTTAACATTAATCCCAAACCCCATAAAAGTCTTAGTACCCTATTGACAAGCCAAAACAAAAGTCACTACTTTACCATGAAATTTTGTTGAAGAGGAGACCATGAGTACATCACGGGCACAGAGGCAACTGCGTTTAGTGTCTTCAAGGGAATGACTTGCTTGGGGAACTCGGAGAATCCACTGTCCACGGTGCACTGCAGGGAAAATATCACCATTATTGCAAGCCATTATCTTGCCTGGTGGGCTACAATCACCGCTACTGTGGCGACTTGGCCTGGAAAGTTAAAAGAAAATTGAAAACGCAATTGGAATTGATACTCTGTTCATGATGAACACCAATGGGATGAACATTCGGATTTCCCATCACAGCACACAAGCATCAACAAAGCCAAGCAAACAGTAGTTTCACACAAATCTGAGCCCAGTGAAAGATTCAAGGGCACACACGCGGTAAAGGCTCTGTGGCCAAATTCTTCCCCTCTTAGCGCAGTGGGTAGTACCAAGCTGAAAGTGTTTGCAGCTCACAGACGACAAGTTCCCATGAGATAGAAGAGGGAAAAGCCAGAACTTCGAGTTCTGAACCCAGCTGCCTCACAGAGATGCAGATGTACAGTTTATTTAGCTTTTTGATTCCACAGACAGTCACAGACAAATGTAATGACTCCCTTCGTGTTCCATTTTGTCTGTGACGTCGTGGCTATCCGTCACCCATCTTCAAGGTTCTTTTCAAGGCTTAACAAGCACGAAGCACTCGTGCCAGCCGGCAGCTGGAAAGATACGCCGTGAATTAACCCGAGCGCCGCTCTCCGTGCTTTCAGAGCACACTGTTTCACGGCAGCTGCAGGACACTGCACAGCCGAGGACATCTAAGGAATCTTTGACTGCAGCTGCAAACAGGCCTGCAAGCACTAGTGCAGCAATGAGGTTCGCAGCACGATAGGAGCAGTCTTCACAGAAGCCATCGTTTCTGCTCGGAGAGCGACCCAGTGACCTGAGCAGGCTACGAAAAGTTTCGTCGGTTTATAGTACGAATGCCAATTTGTTTAACATCAAATAATTGTTTGCATCAGTCCAAAAAAGGAGGGTAAGACGGTCAAATTATTCTGTTTCTCAGATTTTTCTTCCCCCCAAGATTTAATGGTTAGTGAAGTCTGAGTTACAGGTCAGTACTACAGCCGACCTTTATGCTTTTTCGAAAACTGAGGATTTTACGTTTTTTCCGGATTGAGTGGGTGGTGCAATACCTGCTCAAAAAGCCAGGAGAGACTCAACACTGGGTAACACTGAAGGGGGAAAACTATGACTAGCTTCACCATCCTTCTGTGCATTGAATATTGCAACTATTTTATGTCATTTAATAAGTCTCAAATCACTAAAAACTGCAACTTTTTAGCAATTACTAGGTGACACTGCATTCCAAGTTATTCTGAGACAGCATCATGACCTTCTTGTGTGCACCTTGTTCATAAACCCCAGCTTTCATGCAGAAAGTGGAAGTAAGACCCTATGACCCTGTCACCCTATGTACACTGTCTACCTGAAAGACTGAGGCACCAATGCTGCAGTAGTTTCAATGTAAAAACCAGCTTTCTGGAAATAAATTGAGGCACTGATTTTAATTTCCATAACTGACAAGGTTTATATGCCCCTTGCAGCATCTAAAACTGTTCTTGAAAGGTTGCCGAGTCAAAAATCTAGGTAAAATCAGAGTAAATACAGAATAATCGGATTTGAAAACAAGTATAAAAAGTATTGAAAAACGAAGTCCTTATAACCTGTATGCAGATTTTGCATTACACCATAATTACCAAATAGTACTGTGCTGCGAAACCATCAGATGTGATGGCACAGATGAAACTGGATACTAGATTTTATAACTAAGCATGTAATTATCTAACATCATGATCAGGCGCCTCAACCACCTTTGCTACTACAAATATAGAATGCTGTGTAATTCTGTGATTCACATCCCCAGCATGAGGCCAACCGAAACCTGCTTTCTCCCAAATTCTGCTGTATGATTCAGTAAAAATGTTTTTGTGGAACATTTGCAGTACATGCTGTCTCAGACTACATTGTTTACTGAATGATGCACCTTAGAGAGAGCCTCTCTTTGCTGTGTCATGCCAGCTGCACTATGACTAAGGCATTGCAGTGCATGAACCAGCAAGGAGTGGGCTCACAGAGATGCACAATTAGCCCAGGTCGAGGAGCACGCCACATCCACGCCTCTGTCATCACTGTATCATACTCATACTTTTGTACAGGGAACATTTTTTTCCTTGATGTGATTTATGCAATTTTTGCTAAATGAAAAAAAAAAACAATGCAATGTCGACGACGGATTGGAACTAGATTTTCCAAACTTGACTCTTAATCCGTCGCTTCCGGGTTTTGAAAAACACGGGATACTTGAAAAAACACTCCACACTCTGAAATAATACGCAAAAAGTTAAGCCTTGATTTAACTGCCTTTAGGAGTACCTTCAGAAGCAAGCCTTGAATAACACCAGTGTTTTGCGGTGTGGCCGCATCTGACCTATGGCGTGCTCTTAGGTTATGAGAGGCACTCTTCTTTTCAAGAAAAGAAGTGGATGCCATTTGCAGCCGTTGCAGTCTGTGGTGCTTTTCAACTGCAGAACCAAGATTGTAAACTATTGAGTGCTGACCTCTCTGGTCCCACGTAAGGAGCTTACAGATGTCATGATGTGCACGGGCTGTATCCGGCGCAGTTTCCACTCCTGGTTCAGGATATCGGTCCGCTCCAGGATCTTCTGCCGATTGGAGTTAAACATACTCTGGAGAGAGGGGGGAAGAGAGGTGTATTCACACACCATTCAACCAGCACTGCGACTCCCGGAGGAAAACGTGTTCAGCCGTTTGGTCTCGATGGGGAAAAAAAATAAATGAAAAGGACTAACACAGCAGGCACGTTATGAACGACAGATAGGGAAGCCAAGAAATTCTTCAGCCACCTTCCAAAACAGGAGGAGCAGACAGGTTATAACAAAAAAAGGGAATGAGACTGATGCGGAAGAAAACCCACAGTGTCTGTTTCTGCCCGCACAGTAAAAGATCAAACACTATTTTGGAATATAGAGAAAATTAGCAGAGAACTGGATACACCCCGGGCTCTGGAGTTCTCTGCTGAAAAATGATTAAGAATAAGTTTATGAATGATGCTCACAGCAACCACCAGGCCATTGATTAGGGAGGGCATACATCATACCGCAGCAGGTATGACCTTCTGAAAAACTACAGCATTGACCCTGAACCTCATGGGCTTCAAACACTAAACACAAGGAAACCACCTGTAAGTAGCAACGATACTGATACAGAGGAGTTTGAGTTTTATTCTCAATCTGCACTAGTGACAGACAACTGCTGACCTGGAAGCCAGAGAGGTGTTTTCTTTGGACAGGAACTGCTCAGTTACACCATTTATTTTACATATGTGTAAACGTCATAGGAAGAGTTTTCTTGCAAATGCATATCTTACAGTTTAGTGCAGTAATGGCACATTTAATCTCAGGAGTAAATAGGTGGCACCACTTTGAAAAGTTAGATATCTTCAATGTCAATTATGCAACACAAAGCTACTATCATCAAAAAGAACATCTTTCAAATGCAAACTTTAGAATATTGAAGTTGTGATTTGCATTGTTTAAAACAACAGAAAGAAATTACATTAACTGTTGCAAGGTCTCAATATTTGGTATCTAAATTAATTCCAATACTTTCTTGATGTATTTCTAGTCACACTGCAGATAATGAAGTGAGGTAACTGACAAAAAAAAGTGTTCAGAGTATACTAAAAGGAAGCTTCCTGGGTTTGTCTAGGGCAAGTAAAGTAAATTGCCAACTTCTATAAAGCACTGGGCATATTTTTATCACACACCTGGAAAAAGATCTTCAGCACCACTAAGTGCACACAGTGCTGAGCTGCTTGGTACTTGTAGCTATATAAAGCTCAACCATTTCAAAAACCTAACCTATACTTTGCTTGTCTTTTAATTTTACGGGAAGTTTTTATACTCTTCACTTGGACCAGTAAACAAAAGGACACATTTGCTGGTTTACCCAAACGTAAAATTAATTTAGTAGAGAAAATGGACAACCCTTTGTTGTACTGCATTAATACACCATGGTGTCTGCCAAGTCAGGTTCGTGTAGTAACCCTTCGAAAAAGGATTAAAAAGAAGAAAAAAAAAGATTCAGATCTTCCAAAATGTTATGCAACGGTTTTAATTCAAGCTCTAAGAACATTAGGGTCTTTTTTTTTTGTATTTGCAGCACTGACAAAACGTCTTAAGCAAGGCTAGAAGTGAACACATCTGCTGTGTTTTTTTAAATACACCTTGGATATGCCACCAACAGTCGACACTTGGAACACTCACGGGGCAGGCAAGGACCGTTTAAAACCCACCGCAGTTCATGATGCGCACACAATACAAAGAAATACATTTCTGAGGGCTTTACTGTATTACAGTTATCAAAGTGACCTGTGATGGGGAAATCTGTGCAGAGAACATTATTTCCTCTTCTTCTCATGCAGCGTCGCTATATGTGGATGCACTATGGAACATGCATGCGCCGTGACCCTTGAGACAGGCTAGTGGCTAAACCGTTGAAGAGCTGCAGGAATAAAGACCCTTACCTTGACCTCGTCGGCTCTCCTGAACCTCTTCAGCTGCCTGAGCCGCATGTACTCGGATTTCACCCTCCTCCTCCAGCACACGGGCCCCTTCTCCGACTTCCTTCCCGGAAAGCCCATGGTTACCCTGCAGCCGAGGCACAGAGCAGGAGCCGGGGGTCAGGCTGCAGCCCAGCGGCCCCAGGAGCGCGGGAGCAAGGCACAGCCCACCACCCGCTGCGGCCACTTGTTAACGAGCCAAGAAGCCGCACGCAAATAGAAATAAAGGGGTCCCAGGTTGTACATGTCCTAGGTATGAAGGCCGGTGGGTTAACTCAACGGACACCCCTGCCTTTAGCATCAGCAAGAAAATAAAAACGCTCGAAAGACAAAATGAACCAGCCCGGGGAAAGCAAGCAAGCACAGGCAAACAGCTTTCCTTGCTCACGAGGACAGAAAATAAGACGCCAAGACGCCGAACACGGCATTTCACACATTAACAAGACCACACACCGAAGATCTCGCACACCCAAGGACGGAAAACAAAGGTTTGGAATTTAAAACATTTCATCACCACTGAATGTGGTGAATCTCAAGTGTATTAAGACCCATTTTGTGACATTACAAAATTTGTAATATTAATATTTGGTGGAAACATACTAAATCCATTTCCCTTTTTGTCTTTTGTAAACATGGAACAGGCTGTGGGTATACGTGTATTTACTAACTACATCTATTATCACATCAAAGTGTCATGACTGCACGCTTTAAAGCAACACCGCAAAATCGTCAACAGTTTGAATACCTTTGCAGGGCACTTGCACATTGTCTATCCGTGGCAATCGCTGCCACGATCTCCTTTGTGTTCAACTCCACAATACCTCCACTTTTTTAACTTTTAACTAGCCCACTCCAAACACTTCCGGGTCTGGCTCAAGATCTCGCCAGTCCCCGAAGAGGACAGGTGTGGGACACTCACAGCCACCCGAGAAGTCAGATCAGAAGGCGCCGTTCCGCCCCCAGGCCGAGGAGGGAAGCCTGACAGCGAGCTGTGCCCACTCTGGCACCTGCGCAGCCACGGCAAACTAATCTCCCGGGAGGCACTGTGGGCTGAACTGAAACCAGTATGACCACACACTCACACCACCTTTAGAAACAGGCTCACAACTCCTACATTTCACCGTGAGTCATGTTCTGCAGATCCTGCTCCGCTCTTTGTGAACTACAACAGCTCATAGTTCTCCTACACTGAATCATCATCATTCAAGTTTCTGTACTGGTCTCCGTAACCCACGGTGAGTCCTACTCGGCTTCAGATGACATCACGTCTTTAAACATGGTTTTCCGTTACAGGGAACATTCAAAATCAACAACTCCTTGACTAATAAAATACATAGATCTACACCTGGAGATTCAGGTTACATTTTTTCTAGGAAAGATTAACTTTACAAGTCATTAATTTCTCTAAATTCTCTCAAGGAAGCGGACGTACAAGTAACATATATATATGGATTTTGTTGTTTTTTAAAAAAAATCTGCTTTACCAAAAAAAGACGACCAAATCCAGCTGACACAAAAATGCGGCAAAATTAAAACTTTTAGAAAATTATGGTAACTGTATCTGGTCTCTCTCAGAGCAATATCTTTTAACAGTTATTTCACTGCTCACCAGCACCAGTCTCAGAAGCAAAACAAATATCAGCTTCAGCCAGCAGCAGTTTTGAAATGCAAAGATATTTCTGTTGGCACAAAAGAGAAGTCATCAGCTGAGAAGAGCAACAAACAGCAAGAAAGAAAACACACAACCCCAGAGCTTCTGCCGTCTTAGGAAAAAAACTATAATTTGTAACAGGGAGCGAAAAGTGCACAAGCATCAGAACTTTCTATAAAATCCACAAGCAAGGAACCTAACAGCAACAGAAAACTTTTACAAATAGTCATTGTTTTTTTCCCCCCGGTTGCTCCAAAGCTTTTCACCTCACACGGTCTTTTCTCCTACAGGCCAAACCAGCAACCTGCATCGCACAACAAACACGCGGACAAACAGAGGCTCGCTTCCTACTGCAGGGCTGGGTTGTGCGACTCCCTGGCCTCGGCCGAGGTTCCCCCCAGTAGGGGGCGCACTGCGGGCTGCAGCGTCTCGGGAGGGCGGACCCCCGGAAGCTTGGCGCCGGCGAGAGCCCCCAGCGCTGCTGCCGGAGCTGAGGGGGGTCTCGCAGACCCGCCACGGCGCACCTCTCACGGAGAAGAGCGCCCCCCCCTCCCCCGGCGGGGGCCACCGCAGGCCAGATCCGCCCGAGATCCAGAAGAAAAACAAAGTAATCCCGCGGAAGGGCGGCGACCCCGCTTCCAGCCTGAAACGTGATCCGGCACCTGCTCTACACTAAACCCTCCTGATCTAGCAGACGCACGTCTCGCTTGAACACGCCTCTGACCACAGGGCAATGGGTCTTCAACAGTGAGCTGTTCTATCACCCAGCGTGCCTCACAGACCTTGGTATGATCACAGGTTCCAGATCCCCCTTCCCTCCTTTCGGCGCCTGAATGGTGTGAACACTGTGCTCACTTCTCGTCTGATGTGCTTAAACTACGTGACACGGACCAAAGAGAACTTTAGGAAAGTAATTCCCCCCCCACCAGACTTATACAAACGGGTACAAACCGAGAAAAAAAATCCAATGAAAAATATGCAAAACCCACTCAGCTGTCAAAGCCAGAATTAATCAGATTTTTTCAAGTATAACGAAATCCAAGGTTGGCAGCAAAATACGGTTTTGTCTCTGCTTTCTAAACTTAACATGGTGAAGAGGAACTGCTGACACACAAGAGCGTTCCTAAAATGTCAAGGTCAAATGTAAAAATGAAAAGCAGACCTGAGGCAGACCGTTTCTTTGCAAAGCCTAGTCTTTTAAAAAGCTACAAAATCTGTTCTTGGGCTTCTTGCGGATGGGTGCCGCAAACTTCAGACAGGCCGGAGTACTGGGTTGAGCACGAGGTTTCAGGCAGGCAGATCGTGCTGTCAGACTGCGAAGGAGCGACAGACACAGCAGCTCCTGTGGCTTTCTGAATCATTGCTCGCAAGTACAACTGGGCTTTGGAAAACCACTCTTTCCCCACGTGCAGCTGTGCACAGAAAACAGGGCTCCATTAGCATTTACTGTCACATAAAAAAAAACCCCAATGCAAAGATAAAACGATCAGTATATTGACTTCTTAATCACCCTCCCCCTTAAGCTGTAATACACCTGCCATTACACTGTAATAAGATACTTTCAACAAAAAAATGGAGATGCAGATCTCATCTCGGGGAGTAGAAAACTAAGCTCTCAGTCGATACATTAAAGGATACCCTGCGGTTTAATCTCTAGTCAAAGCTCTAGCATATGAAGGTCACTCAATAGCTCTGGTCCCGGCGTTCTGAGAACATGTTACATATGGCACCACCTAGGCTCACAGGAATAAGAGCAGTAACAGGAAATCAGATTTCTATTCAGCCTGACAGCCGTTAACCACAGAACAAGACTCAGCACCCAGCCTTTGCTGTTTCTTCACCAGGAACTTTCAGTCCAAAACAAACTAGTTCCAGCTATTTATTTTTTTTTTGGGGGGGAGGGGGTTATACTTAAACTATGTAGTGAACTGGAGCAGAAAAACGTGTGACTTTCTGCTGAACACATACATAGGCAGCTGATAAAGACTGTGTTATTAAAAGCAGCGGGGAGGAGGGGTGGTTGAGGCTCTGGACCCAGAAAGGGAAGACTGTGGGTTAAAATCCCAGTCAGGGCACCGCAGGGGGACCCTTAACACAGGCCTGTCCTCGGACGTCTCCTGTGCAATGCTCAGCTGTAGGAATGGATGCAGATGTAAGTCACCCTGGAGAAGAGTGTCAGCAGAGCTAAATACTAAATGAAGTAAAACAAGAAAATCAGAACCCTGTCACTACACCAAGGCAGATCTTTTGTGTTTTAAGATGGCTCTTCCAGGGAAGGTCTCATGAAACAAACCAACCAACAACTTGGGGTGGAAAAAAGCAGTCAAACAACATGTGGGGAAATAACGGGACGCCAAAAACAACAAGTTCCCAAAGCTTATCAAAAATGTATGGATTGTTTAACAGGAAGGATGAATAGTCAATTTCTTCCCATTTCAACTGACAGTTCATGCATTTCCTCACAATAATGCTGAAAGTAATGATACTGACATTTCAATAACGCGAATAGTTACAGAGGACCTGCCACCCCAAGGCTGAAGTGATCAGCAATTTCCCAAACACCCCCTGAGGTTTACACAGGTGTGTGACTGCTTTATCTAGTTTATTAAAAGCTTCAAGCACTATACTTGGCCCAAAGAGCGCACATATAAATCAGAAAGTAAAATCCTAGAAACTAAAACTTCAAAAAAGAACTGATCAAATCCGCTGTCAGCTTCGTCATCTTCTGCCTTACACAGAGCTGAAGATTGCGGTCTTGCTTCTATCATGATAGTAAGACTATGGTTACACAGAACAATGTAGACTTCACCTTTTAAGTCGAAAGTTAATTCTGGAACCGTTGGCATCAATTCAATTCAATCCTTTGTCACCCACTCGCCCAAAATTTAACTGAATGCAACTATTGCAGGTGATGAAAGTCACGTGTTTTGAGATGAAGTTTCTGAAGGCTGGGAGAGAAAAGGGTACTGACCCCTCTTCCTCTGCTGCACTCTGCACTGGTTTGCTTATATTCGGCATTCCTGAAAAGACTTATCTGCTTGGTACACATGCTAAGGAACCCAACAGAACAGTCATGTCACAGCTACAAGAGCTTGCCAGCACCCCCGTCTGGAACACACCCCCTCCCTAGCTGCACAGCCATCCTGGAAGAAATAACGACACCAGCCGCCAGCGATCCCTTCCCAGGCTGCACGCGCCCGCCCTGCTCCAAGAACTCCCCTTACCTCATAGCATCTCTCCTTGTATTCCACGTGACCAGTTCCAAGTCCGATGACTCCAAACACCTTTATACCTAACCTCCAATCAGCCCGCCTTACGAAAAAGGCGTGGGAGGAAAAGGACAGTCTGTTTGAGGAGGCTGCTCTAACACAGAGGTGACTGAAGGTTCTTTACTCGCTCACAGGATGATGGAAGAGTACAAACGGCACACAATCTAAGCGATTTGCTTTGCACCCAGAGCACAGGCACAGAGGCGCGAGGAAGGCGCAGAACAACAAAGTTTCTTTGATCTGCTGAGAAGCGCAACAGCAGCTGCTCACAGCAAAAACGGAGATGCCCTGCTAATATCTTCTGAAACAGGACCATGTCTATTGCAGAGAGGACAGGCACTGGTGCCCAGGTCACTCAGCCTGCAGGAGCCCCGCTGTCCTGCGGTCCTCCTCACCCCCGTGTCTGCGAGACCACCAGAGCAGTGGCCGTGCTCATCGGGATACCGGGAGTCTGGGAAAACGCTACTGCAGACACCGGGAGCAGAAACAAAAACCTCCACCGCCGGCTTGGAGGAGGAGATAAGACTGCTGTCGGAGAGGTCTGCTATCATTCAGACAGCCTTGGCCTTGTGCGTTTGAAGTGGTAACAGAACCACATAAAGAAAAAACCATCCTTAAATGTATTTGGACAACCAGAACGAGAAATCAGAAAGTCCTGGGAACTTCCAACAGGGTCCTTCTGCCTTATAAAACACTGGCGGTTTACAGCCGAGGTGCGTGCTGAGCCTCGGAGCTGTTCTTCTGGCACATTCACAGCGCCCACAGCAAGTCTCGCGCGTTCGCCTGCCACCCACGCCCGTCAGCTTCGTTGCCGTGCAGGGTGAAGCACCCGCGCTCACACCGACAGATGAGGCGCAGGAGTCTGAGAACCCAGGGGAGCTCCCGGAGGCCACGAGGAGAGGGGTGAAGCCCAGGGCCCGGCCACACTGCTCCAGCTGACCCAGCTCGGGTTCGGCCCAGTCCGCGATCAGGCTGGCGAAGACCCCGCGAGTTCTGACCCCCACCCACATAAAAGCGCTGAAGCAGATAAATCGCTGCTTTCACTGCAGACCAGCTGAGTTTCTGTTCCCTCACGTGTCACACTGAGCACGTGGTGCTTTACAACAACCGGGCGTCTCTGCTCAGCTGGACTCCCCACGGCCCACAATTAAACATCTGCTGGCAAAAACGTTCAATAAAAACGTTTTCAAAAGGCAGAACTGCCGACACCAGGCCATACAGCCCTCAAAACTAGAAGTGCCATTCTCTGCATACTAAAAATCAAGACCTCACTTAAGAGTGAAACAAATGTTGTTCTTCCAAAAAGTGGGAAAACAAATTCTCACCCAACAAAAGACAAGATACTTCAAGTTAAAGGATTTGATTCAACTAGAAACGCACGACCAAATCATGTAATGACCAGTTTCTGCAGTTCACAGAAGGTACAGAACATCAAAGTGCCATTCAAAGCCCTTTACAAATAAGAATCTTCTCGATCTACCATTTAAAACAATCTAACATTTAAAATTGTTTCAATGCATATTTCTGGCAATAACATTTACGTCATCTACATTTATGAATTTTCGGCATTCAGCTATTTTAACTTATTTTCAGTTTGATTTCCAAAGTCATCGTATTGTGCCAAGTTCAGTGTTACAGTATTAATATTTTTAAGGCATGATCATAAAAACAGCTATACTACAGCTATACTACGAGATCTTGATCATTTATGCATATTGACACCAGACTATAACTTTAAACCAATCAATTTAGGAAGGTACATGAAACGCCATTCCATTGAATGAAAGTTAAATTTTCCTATGAAAATGCAGACTTCGCATGCCATTGAAGGACCTGATCCTTTTTTACAGACCACCACAGGAGAAATAACACAATGGCAGCAATAATCGAGGGCAATTTATCCTATCCGAGAAACTCAAATTATACAATATTTAAGATGGTCTGAGTCACAACCCCAATTAAACATACAAGGCAGCTTATGAGAAACAGTGGGGACTTCATTCGCTTTGAAAATAAATCACTCCAAATATTTGAGGCTAATCAAACTAGCAACTGGGACTTTGAAAACGCACATCTTGACATTCAAGTAAGGCACAAATTTCTGAAGGAAACCACACTAGCATCCACTTTCAGCTAGTTTATATGAAAACCCCATTACCTTACACGCGATCCAAGGAAACAGAATGTGGCATTCACAAATCCATTAGAACGTCTCATGGGGAAAAACTGAACTTTTTTTAAACAAAATCAAATTCAAAGTAAACAATTACTATTTCTTGGAACATTGGGTATTAGTCATCACATTTTTACCTCGTTTCACTGAGACTAAATGTTCTGTTATGCTGGGGAAAAAAAGACTGCTTACTGTCAAAATTCATTTCAGGCTTTTACTGCCTCAGGTAACTGAACAGTCTGTGCCTTTCCAGGGTCATACTGATCAAGTAAAAAGCTACCTTGCTTGCTGCTACAGCCTGTATGTACTATTACCTCCTTACATTCTTAAGGACAAAGCATTTCAATTACTACATGCGGTGCAAAGACGAGCAATTTCAATCGACCCCCATTTCTTCTACATGTCCTTATCATCGGATTCTAAGGCACCACACTTTCACATTAAACATGAGCCATACCCGAGAACACAGCTGGGGTGCGACTGATCACAAACATAATTCCCCTTCTCGGCTCACTCCGGCTGCACCGCTTCCTTCTCAGAAAGAGGGAGGGGAGACCCCTGTCCCCAGGGGGGACGCTGCTGCAAGCCCGACGGGTGGCTGGCTGGAACCTGACCAGAAAACAAGAAAGGCCCCGCCAGCCCCGACTCCTCCCCACCCACCTACAACAAGCAGCCGGGACAGCAGGCCTGCGCACCACATCACCGCTGCGGGACCAGAACCAGGACCAGAACCCTTCAGAGAGGCGGGCAGCGCGGTCCCGGAGCCCGTCAAGCCCAGGGGAACAGCCAGGACCGTCCCGCACGGCTGTGCGGCCGATTTCAGTCAGGGACCCATCAAATGGTAACCATTCGGGGCTCAAGAAAGACACGTAAGGAGGTGTCAGTCTTCAGCGCCGCGCAGAGCCTCAGAGCTCTGAACCGCGCGACCCCTCGCCCTCCTGAGGCGACAAGAGCATGAGTTCCTGGTCCGGCAGGGCCGCTGTCTCACTCTCCAGGTCTCTGCAGAGCTGGGAGTGGCGGGGATGTTGGGCCAATCAGGTGGTAATTGAGGTCTGAATGACAGCACACGCCTCCAGGACCAGGACACCCCTGACACCAAGACAGCCACGCTGGCCGCTCACTCGTAGTGCTCACCTTCCGTGTACAAATTCATCCAGTACTGCTGGCGTGTGGAAACAATGAGACAGTACCTTACCTTCGAATAATTTCTGAACTGAGGTACGTTTATGAATTCACAGATACATTCTTAAAAACATATCTATTCACAACTTAAAAAAACAGTTCACATTTTTTTTTACACTTAAACCCAGGCAACCACAACCTAAATGACACCACATCAGATTTACACTGATACACAGGCAGACTATCAGACGACCATTCTCCTTAAAAAAAAAACAACTGAAGAGGATGAAAGAGTGAAAAAAAGAGCACCTGGTAGTCTCAAGCCAAGCCTTCTACATTCGCCCCGATGACCCGAGGTCACGACCAGTTCCTTCTGATGGAGGAACATGGGAACAGCTCCGCACGCTTCCCCACATGGGGCTGCTCCGCACACATGGGGCTGCTCGCTGCCAGCCATCGAAAACCAACTCGCCGGGACGCTCAGCGCCCCCCAGGACATCGAAAAGCAAAGCAAAAGTCGTCCAGTGCAAACCCTACCTCCAGTCACCTATTCCTAAAACCCCCGGCGGGCCAATTCCGTTAAAAAAACAACAACAAAACAAAATCTAACAGCAACACAAAGCAGGAGATCGGATTAAAATAATAATAATAATAAAAAAAAACCCGTGTGCATTGACGTGCTGTCGCGGAGCCCTCGCCAGCCCGGGACACCACACACAGGTAGAGACAACGGGCTCTCACGACGCGCCGCCTCGCCGAGGTCAATACCGGGACAGCGGACTTCACCGACACGGCACGGCGCTCAGAGAGGACCCGAGGCGACACCGCCGGCGCCGGAGAGGGGGCAGACACACACACACACTCGTCCCCGTCCCTGTCGGGGAACCCGTGGGAGACAACACCGGGCGAAGGAGCCACGCACGACTCTCCCCCCCCCGGATCCCACACTGCGCGGTGGAGGGAACCGCACGGCGCAAAACTTCCGCCCCGGTACCGCCGGCTCAAGCTCACCCGGACAGCGGCCGTGCGGACTCTCTCGACGACAACAACAACAACAACAAAACAACAAAAAAAAAGTCTTCACCCCCCCACACACACAGGTCTGCACTCCAGCCCGCCCGAAACAAAAAGAAAGCCGTTTCTTCTTCTCCCTTTTCCGCCAGCCAGCCGAGCCGGGAGAAAGAGAGAGAGAGGAGGAGGAGGAGGAGGGGGGAGAGAGAGAGAGAGAGCGAGAGCGGGGGGGTTAGTTGTGTGAATGGAAAAACGACAAAATGGAAACAACCCCCCCCCCCACACACACACATAAAAAAACCCCTCTCACCTGTCGAAGAGCCGACTCGACTCCTGGTCCACAGCCACCGGGGTACCGAGGCGACGACCCTCCCGCGGCTCCGGGACCGACCGAGGGGCGCCGGGTAAACGGCTCACACAAAGAGGCGCTGCCGGGGCCCGGCGGCTCCTTCCTCCTTTCCCGCTCGCTGGGCGCCCCCCCCCTCCCTGGCTCGGCAGGGCCGCTCCGCTGCGGCCGGCACTCGGTCGCCTTCGCCTCGGCACGGAGTCCCCTCGTCGCACGGCGATTTCCGCTCCGGCAGCTCTCCGCTCACCGCCCGTCGCCTCTGCTCGCTCGCTGTCCGCCCCTCGCTCCGCCAGACCGGGGCCTCGGCGAGCGCCAAACGCGGCCGCCAATCAGCGAGGAGGACACTCAGCCCCCCCAGTATCGGGGGATCCGAATGGCCCGCTGCCGCCGGGGAGCTGGCCAATCAGCGGCGGCTGTGCGGCAGGGGGCCCCGCCTGCGGGGACATGTGGAGAAGTTGCCTTTGTTCCTGGGCTTGTTCGGTGGAGTGCTGTTGAGGTCGGCGGTTGCGATGCTTAATTTTTTGTTTTCACTCAAAAAACAAAAACGAACAGTCATGCTAATGTAATCGACAGCCTCTTCGTGTTCTACGCCGTGGCATACGCAAAGCGACGCGTTCCAGCTGGTTTATTTGTGGTGCATCTTTGGATTGCAGAGAAATGGCCAATTGGGGGGGGCTGTTCTGCTCTGAGCAGATTAAAATATTTTTTACTATTAAATCGGAAACGTCTAAGCGTATAATATACGTCTCCCAGGATGTGGAAGAGCCGTGTCAAGGAATGGGGGTGGATATAAAAACGCTTTTGTCTCTTTCGCTCTTTCCTAGTTCAGTCACTTTCACAGCTAATAAAAAGTTTCACCAACTTCCACCCGTCCCTCAAATATACGGTTAACATATCTTCCACTGCTCTTCCGTTTCTAGACATCAACTTCTCCATCGACTATCCCCGACTGTCCACTTCAGTTTAATACAAACCCACGGATTCACACAGCTACCTCATGTACAGCTCATTTCACCCCAACCACTAAAAAAAAAAAAAACCTGAAGAAAGCTCCACGGCCGAAACGTTGTGTTCTCTTTCTTCTTTTTTTCAGCATGGAATAAACCTATTACTTGTTCCTAATAAAAAGTTGTGTGACTACACCTCTTGAGATGTGGAGCTATAACTATATCCGCCTCAGCCCTGTAGTTATGCAGAGCTGACGCCTGTTGACGAAATAACTTATAATGTCACTTACATAGATACGTGTCGCTTTATTTTATTCACTGGAAAGCACGGACCTTTTTTTTTTTTTAAATGTCCTTCAGTTATAGTACCGGAATAGTAGAGTGTTTTGACAGAAGATAGTCGTTTTCTAATGATTGTTGTGCATTAACCTTTGTCACTGGAATCAATATCCAAAGGACTACTTTAAAGCAGGTTGAGGGGAAAAAAGAATGGAATTATACTTCACAAAATGAAAGGTCTTTGTTTATATTCTGTCCCCGGCGCATTATTTTCTCGCTTTAATTAGTATCTTACCTGCTGTAAAATCCCTCTTGAAGACACTAGTTTAATCAAAGGAAACTCGTGAAAAACAGTTGAACGCACTTTTCACGGTCTGAGGATCACCCCATCCAGTAGGCTCTAATGAATATTAGCCTAAATATAATTTAAATATCCAAACTGATCGGGCTCAATAATTATGAGAAACTGCTTTCTGCCCTTCCTGTACACAGCATGTAGAGACAACTCACACCTCTTCTGGACTTTTACCCGTGAATTAGAGACGATTTGAAATAGTAGATCAAACAGCTCAGTTGTCATCAACACTACTCTATCTCAAAAATACATTAAATGAAGTAGATATACGACATAAGTTTGGAAATAAATATTCAGTCAGCTTGCACAAATACACATAGCGGTGGATGTCCTGCAACTGTCTCAATTGGAGTGGTCTAAAGGTTTGTTCTCACATAATCATTTTTCTACTTGAGTGGGAGGCGTTTGTATCCGAACAAATTACCACTTTCCTACCAATACTGAGCTCTTGACCTCTAAATTTGACTTTTTTTTAAAGTGAAAACAAAGCAAATATTTTCTTCTTTTTGTCCTGTGCCGACAGGCTGCCTCGCTACGTCACGACGTTACCGAGGTCTGTTTTCATCATTTTTGACTCCCATTCCCGGATTTCAGATTTGAACTCCTCGAAGTCACGTTCTTTAACCATCGTTAGACACCGCCATGTGCAGAAAGAGCTCTTCATCGCCGAGGGACCTGAGGTACTTCGGCTGAACAAGTACGAGACTTCAAGCCCCGCCTGAGTGACTTTACAGAGCAGGGGCAGAGACGTTCTGTGAATCGCGTGTTCTTCTCTCATTTTTTAAATTAATTTAATTGAATGAGTTAATTTTAGGGTACTTTAAGATCCATACCGGCGCACAGAGAGATGGTAGGTTCAAACATGTCATTGTCATGCCATCGGAAAACGACAAGTGTCGATGTTTGGATGGAGTGGCTCTCAAGGCAAGTCCGGGCTCACAACAGTTATTATCTTTTGCCATATTGAAAGGTAGGGGTTATATTACTCTATGTGAGAAAGGGGTAGTTGTTTCTACAGTCTCGCCAAGACTCCGCGCCCTGTGATTTGCCGGAGCTGTCTGACAACACGCTACAAAGTCGCCCTCTCCCACGCCTGCCCGAAAGCGAGCTCAGCTGCTCTCCGATTGGCTGACAGGGTCTCACCGGATCCCTCCCTCTCCTGGCATTGGTCTCCGGCCGCGGGCCACTCGCGCCGTGATTGGCCGGCTGGCGGTCGGCCCTCCCCCGCCTTCTCCTTTGAATGGGACTTGGCGGGCCGGACGGGGGACACCGGCCAGACCGGACTTGCCGGGTCGGCGGACCCGTGCGCGTATGAGATACAAGGAAGGAGACAGCAGAGGGAATGTCTGCCCATGGAGATCCACGGAGGAAAAAAAAAAAAAAAGCACGAGGGAACAGCTCGCTAACTCCCTTCGGGGTGGACTGGGTTTCCTCTCGAAACCAGAGAAAATCTTCAAATTAAATGGAAATGAACAGCTGATAGATCCCCCCACCCTCCCAAAACTACTCTAGAGTCGAAATAAATATCTACCCGTGATCAAAACTGTGCAAAGATATTTTTAGATTTGAATCTATTTGAAATATGCCACCGGAACAAATACCGAGTAAAGTCTAATTATCATCCACAATGAAATAGCCAATTTTCTGCTGCTATCTTACTACAGCTCACTGCTGGCAGCCTCCTGGAGCCCAGCAGGTGTGAGCCTGGCCGGTACCCGGACGGGAGACCCCCTGCTGCTGCTGGAAGAGGTGTGAGTGGGGCCAGCAGGGGGCGCTCTCACCCTGCGGTCTGCGTGGGTCCTGATGCCCCAGTACAGTGTGATGGGACACTGTACTGCTGCAATGCTCTGTGGACAGCGAAGGGCAAGACAAGGCACAGAGAGGCGTCGTGGCCATCCACCGCCACCGACTACTCGTACCGCCGGAGGGCGAGAGAGTGGGACTGTCCCGGCGCGACAGCTTTTCCACTTCACGAAGCTCTCCCGCACGGGCCTCTTCTCCCAGACGGACGAGCTGTAGTCTTCCTCATCATCTTCAGGACCTGCTCCCAGACTTTGCAACTGCTTCAGCCCTTAGCGTCGTGAATTCCTCTTGCTGTGAAGTGCCTATTTGCTGTATCTATTTTGATATTTTGTCTCTTACATGCCGTAAGACACCCACGCTGCGGAGCACCGCCTAGGGAGTACAGGAGAGGGAGGGAAAAGGGTTATTAATGACCCTTAGCATTTCATTCCTCATTGACGGGGTGTGCGCGTCCTGCTCTCTCCTCGTGTTTCACCGCTGCTAGAACCCGGAACGCCTCGCAGTGCGTCACATGTGAATTTTTTCCACGCCACGCCACGCGTGGGCCGCCCGCCGAGCCGCTTTGAAGTCTCTCCGCGTGGAAGGCGGCGGTCGTGGAGATGTCTTAGCTCGTGTTGCGTTTAATCGTGTTTTTTTTTTGTTTAATGCAGAACAGATAACCTCCCAGTAAAGACGATTAATTGCCTGAGATGTGTTACAGGATAACGATACCGTGATCACGACAGTTCAGGTACCTGCTGCTGCCCTTGGTCACTCTCCGCGCTCCTGATTGGTCAATTACAATTGCTCCTTGAGTTGTACTTGTATTTGTAAATTCTTTATACATGGAAAAAAAAATACAATTGTTACGTCGATTGCAAAGGTCTGTGCAGAACACGTGCTTTTAAGCTAATTGGTGTCTTGCACTTACTTGATCAAAGGCAGCTCAGGCTGCAATGCTGTGCTGAAACGATTGCGTTCACAAAATAAAAAGATGGTACGTTCACATACTCTCTCACTTTGGGTACCGAATTTAACTTTTCATTAAAATGTCTTCCATTTTCAAGGAATGTTCAGAAATGTAATTGGCGTGATCCGTTATTTACAGCACATGTTGCTATCGTTTAAAGCGTGACTTTCTGTATAATATTGCATTCATTTCTGAATGGCTAACACGTGTGCATTGAGCGTAATATAAAAAAATGCTGGAACGAGTATGAAAAGTATTTCCTTGTTTTGCATGGATTTTTCAGTTGCGGGGTAAATCACGCAGTAGCATGGAAAAAAATAAACTAATTTCATTTTTAACAGTATTTTGTCCTCATCGGCACTGAAATTATTTTTTTTCAAACCGTTCTCTCCCCCCAGCGGTCAGGTCTCGGTATTGCAGCTGTAAAACTGGCAGCTCGCTTTGCGATTATATGTACAGAAAAAGTAGGACTGAAAGGTGTGGAGATCAAAGCAAAAGTAATAACGTTAATAACATCTTCATTATTTATTATGATTTGTTACTTTTTATTTTCACAATAAATTGTCTCATTTTGGAAAAATGCAGCCGGTTGATGGATTGGTTCATTATCGAGTGCAATGGTTTTATGCACAAATGCTGGAGGAGGGAGGTCATCTGTGCACAATGCGATTTGGACGGGCTAATTTGTCATTGACTTCCCCCCAATAATCGTCCGTCTTCTCTTCTGCTGGTCTAGAGTTGTCTAGTTGCGCGGCCGCGTGTGCCTGTAATACAGTTGCGTACGATTTGCATATCCCGTGATGCTTCAGTACGAGGCTTACGGATGGGGGGACAAAAACGAGCTTTGTCTTCGGTGTGAAGCGCTATCATTTTTATCTTCGCTTGCACTGAGCACTACATCTATCTGTAGGATAAATTAAGTGATTCTTAGTGCCATGATGTTTTTAATACAGTCTGAAGTATAGCCCTAGATCGAACGAATACTTAGCATTTGGGGTTTATTTAGGAATACAAGCGGATGGTGTAGTTGACTGGTCCGATTGTAGTGGGTTATCGCAATTGATATTTCTCACAGTCAGTTAACTTAAATCCTCGTTTGTTTCCCTTTCCCGCCCACTACGCAATTTGACTGGTCTTTTGCTAATTTTTTGTAAAAAAAAAAGTGCTTCCCCACCCGCCTCCTCCTGTCAACAAATGACAATACCATGCTTTTCTGGGCAGTCGTTTTAAAGTAGAATCCCCCGTGTCATTTCACAATCGCACCCGTTCGTTTTAAACTGCATTTCTCGATCCAGTCTCTCTGAGGATGGTACCGTGATATCCTTCACAAGTACGGTCCCAGTAAACGCCAAACAAATGTTGTACTTCCTAGAATTAAACATGAACAAGATGACTTATGTGTACTTTGTAGTAATGAGACGGATTCTTTGTTACTACATTTGTTAACTGCATATAAACAGAACTGTTTTCGGTAGATCTGCAAAATGTTATTGTTCAAGATTTTAAGGTAAATGTTAAATTGAAAGATTTTGATATGATTTAATATTTTGTTGGATCTGATTTGGATAAAGAACGTGTTTATTGTTAATCTGTTAATTATTTTGGCTAAATATCTTATCCATAAATGTAAATGGTCTAATACTGCTCCCTCTATCCATGCTTTTAGCGTTGAATTCCTTTAGAAATTTAAAGAATCAAAAGGCAAGACATACAATGGAAATTGAATAATTTTTGGGTTTTACAACTGTGAAATCCTCTGGCTGTGAAGTGTCTATTTCCTGTCTCCTTTTTTTGTGTTTCTGGTGTTTAAATAAAAACTTATTTAAAAAAAAAACAAAAGTGGTTCTCAGTCGACCTACTTTGCTGCAACAAAGCTATACAAACATTAGTCATGGTAAAGGGGAAAAAAGTTTACTCTTAAAGGCATTTACAATCAGCTACACGTATCTCTCCGGCTACATCGGAGTCGGTTTTGACCACTTTTTTTTTTAAAGAAAACTAAAAACGGACACATGGTCCTCACCGCACTCCTAAAACTCAGCCCCGGCTGGACACCTCATTTCCGGCTTGTTAATATACCCCGTTCCCGGCGTGCACTTCCCGGCATGAGCAAAGTGAAAGAGCTCGGCTCACAGCTTTCACGATCTTAGACTTTGAGAGTTTAGCAGCTCAGCTATACAAGTCAATAATGTAAGCAGTTTTATGTTTTGTGATTTTGCGTTTTTAGACTTGCTTTTTTTTCCCTCCCATATCCCTGGAGAGCTTTACATATAAGAGGTATATATCAAAGGGTGCCCCAGTTAACCCACGGTCGGTCCGAAGGCAGAGGGAATTCACAATTGATTGTTTCAGTCAGTTACAGAAATCCCTGCTCTTTCTCCCTCCAACTCCCACTGCTGCTCTCGACTGGCCTTTTGAACTCCGTATCAGTTTTTTTTTTTTAACCGTTGCCGTTCCGTACCTCCACATGCTCCGATGTGCGAGTTGTTCGGCGTCAAGGCGGAACACGAAAGCCTTTCCCGCTCCAGCAGTGAAATGGTGAAGAAACGAGAAACGTCACCATTTGAATTCAGAGTGAATTGCAGGAGATGCTGTCTGCCCACCGTGGAATTCAGCCAGGACTTTTTTTTCTTTTAAACATGCCCTGGGATCTTTAATGCCCACAGCGACAGGACAGCAGGTTAATGCCTGACTCCCTACAGCACACTAATTTATGGATCCATACGTTAATGACATCTAAAAAAGTTTGATACCCACACCATCTGTAATTAGCTGATAACATCTAGCAGATGAACAAGTAACAGGTTTATTCCATGCTGAAAAAAAACAAGAAAGAGAACACAACGTTTCGGCCGTGGAGCCTTCTTCAGGTGTGTCAGGTGTGTCAACCTGAAGAAGGCTCCACGGCCGAAACGTTGTGTTCTCTTTCTTGTTTTTTTTCAGCATGGAATAAACCTATTACTTGTTCCTTTGCAGCCTACGCATGCTGACGCAGCTACCCACCTGAACTACATCTAGCAGATGTAGTTTAAGAGAAATACAATGTACAGTAACTTTTTCCCCATATGTCATTCAGACCTTTTACACAAGTATTTGAATGAGATTACCCAGCGTTTTAAGAAGCACAGATCATTTATTGCTAACTCAGGTTTACAAATGTGGCTTTAAGCCCATTCCAGATACACTAAGGAAAATCCCTGCATCTCCTTAGTGAGCAACTACCTTCCATTTCATTAAGGATCTGCTACTGCATTTGGAAGTTTGACATTATGAGTACTATATATGGCAATATATTCACTTATTGTCAATCCTAATAAAATTTAGCTTTTGTGCACCCTCCAAGAAGTAATAAACACCTTGTTGGTCAACAAGATGCAGCTGGATTTCTTCTGGCAAGCTGAAGTTTTATTCAAAGCAATGCTGGATCCAGAAACTCCACTTTCTCCTCCACCTGTCAAAAGCATCAGTTTCCTTTCTGGAGATCTACACCACTCCCACCCCAGGCCAAACCCAAAAAAAAAAAACAACTCAGTTTTTACAATCTTTTATTTAAAAAGATTTTTGTAACAAAATAAACTCAGCTGGTAAACAGTGCAAACTTTGGAAAAGTGAAATCTCTTGACGAAGACACTAATTACCGCCGTTACAGACATCCGGCTCTTAAACATGAACACGCACTGGAAAGAGTTTACAGTCTTCAACCCACCAAGCTGCTCCTTCTACTGCATTAATACTTGGATCTCCTCGCAAGTCCCGTGGCTTTCAAAGGCATTAAAGCTCATCCCTCTTCTGTGATAATTTCGTGGCATGCTGCTCCAGGAACTTGCTGAGGCCTTCCAAGTCTCTCTTTCCGTCCTCAAACTTTATGGGGTGCTGCTTGTCGCCGCTGGGAGCGAAATAGATCGTGGGGAACCCCTCGGCTTTGTAGCTCTCGTGCAGCACGTCGTTGGCCGTGGCGTCCATCTTGGCGATGACCAGGCCCTTCTCGTTCTTGTACTTCTTGCCCAGCTCCAGGTACTCGGGCTCCAGCTTCTTGCAGTGGCCGCACCAGGGGGCGTAGAACTCGATGAGGACGTCCTTCTTGGGGTCCAGGACGATCTCCTCGAAGGTCTTGCCGACCACCGTCTTCACCGGCCCCTTGTTGTTCTTCGGCACGGGCTGGGACTTGATGATCGGCTTCAGTTTGCCTGCGGGAGAAGGGGAAAAACGTTCAGGTCTCGGTCTTCCTCCAAAAGCTTGTCCCCGAAAGAAACGGCCCGAGACACCGTTTATGCCCGGTCTTTTACCGAAGCTACCTTAGGGGTCAAGAGGTCACAAACACCAGAGAGCAAAACGGAGCCACTCTTCCCTTCCGCGCCGTGCAGCTCCTGCTCTAGAACAGGCGGCCGACCGGCGAAGTACCCGAGAGCACAGCTGGAATGAGGTCAGCGGACACGCCGGTCACTTCAGGACCGGGATTCGGGAAGGCCAACAACATGGACCCAGTACCAACATCTGGAGCTCCAGACAAGGGTAACCTGAGCTTTATTGTTTGAGAGCAGGAGGGAGGAAAACTAAACAATTCTGTATTATCATCGACTGCCCACTAACACTGGAAACACCTCCATCTCTTGGTTCTCAAAAAAAAAACTATTTAAATGCCTTTGCAATCAATTTAACCTTTTTAGGCACAGAGGTTCCTTCCGATTTGTTCAACGGCAATAACTTGTATAGTTACTCCAGGTGGAACCGATATGATCAGCTTTTACTTCATCTGCGCATGAAAGTTACATACGCATTTGTATCCCCAGTCTTCACAGCGGATTTATACAGATAATCAATGCAAATCCTTTACTGAACAGAAAAAATCTAATAGGCGTCTTGTTTGCAAAGAACGTTGGATGTTCAGTCATTTAAAACATTTTTCAACACTAAGCACACTGACCGATTCCTTACGGTCGGATGCCTGTCATCAAAGGAGACCAGGACTGCAGGAAACCAAGACCTCTAATGAAACCCCTGCACAGCTGCAGTGCCGTTGACAGGAAAACCAGCCTCTCTGCACATTGTTTGACTAGAGCCTCCGAGACCCGAAGTGCCACGTGCACCGTCTGTGTCCAGGTGGCTCAGACCTGCTGTGGCAGCACCACGCCTCCGAAAGGAACAGCTGCAAGCAGGGTTTGTGCATTTGCTTCCTGCGGTATCCCAGACGCCGGGCGTGCGATCGGGCTTACATGTGCCCAACGTACGCCCTGAAACAACTCGCGCTCCCTCAGTTCGGTACGTTAGAGCTCTACGTAAATGTTCCTGCTCTCCAGCAGCGTGTATCCCACTGACAGGAAAGGCCACCTAACTCGCCTCAGAAAACAAGTTCTAGACGCTACAGCTCTGTGCCATTACATCACACAGAAACCGAGTCCATGCCTCAAAAAATACTGCGCCGGCACCAGCGTCTAGTACTTAACCCCCCCACACACACACACACACGCACCCACACCACGGGGTGCAGAGTCTCAGCCTGCCCCAGCTCCGAGCCGGAGAGCGGGACACGAACACACGACCACAGAACTGCCGCCCGAGCTGGCGGCCGGACCGAGCCCAGCGCATTTCGACAACCCCTAGGCCGCCACATGCCTACAGGCACGAGGCTGAAGGCCTCACCTTTCTTGAAGGCCGTGACGAAATCCCTCAGCGCGTCCGAGTCGAACTCCTCGGGCTCCATGGCGTACTTCTTGCCTCCCTCCCCCAGGATCCCGGCGTTCACCTCCTCGCCGCTCTCAGCCAGGCCCAGCGCCTTCAGCTCCTCGGCGTAGTCCTCCTCGTCGGCGATGGCGAACGTGTACTCGGGGAAGTCCTGCGCCACCTCCAGCACCTTGCTCCTCCAGAACTGGGTGGCTGGAAGGAAGGAAGGAAGGAAGGGTTCATATCCCAGACCGCGAGCGGGAGGCGGAGATGGGTAAAAAGAAGAAGTCCGAATGCCCAATCCGGAAAACTAACACCCGCCGTGCGTGAGCTCATCACACCGACACTCCGGCGTGACCCGTTAAAGAAAACCAAACCCACCGACTCTGTAGTCGAAGCTGAAGTCAACGCCGTAGTAGACCACAACCAGGGGCCGTTTCGTATAGCGCTTTGCGTCGTTGCTTTGTTTCCGGTGGCCAACCAACGGAAGGGCATGCTGGGTAAAGAAGTCCTTCACCTCGGAGGCTGTAGTAGAGTCCTAGAGCACAGGGAACAAAGACTTCAGACCTCGAACCAAAGCCTGAGCTGGGGGAGAAAGCACGCAAAGAGGAGGCGATATTACCAGGAGTTTAAGCATGACCAGGTCTTGGTCAAACGTTGCCACTTACTTTGATTTGGAATGTACTGGATTTTGGTTCATATTTAGACTGGAACTTTTCGGGTTGCATCATGATCACTTGTCCAGGAGAAGCTTTGAGAAACTTGGCGATTTCATCGCTGAACGTGTGGTGGAATTTGTAGTCGTCTCTCAAGTTGTTGCCTACAGGGCACAAGGAGAAACAGCTTTTGCACATGCTGCTGTGGGGATCGCAAGAACTCTTAATTCCCCCCGAGTCATCTTGGAAGTTTCAACCTTCATTTGATTTCAACTTGCAAGAACAGAGTAAATCCTCATCAACAAAACCATTCAATTCTGCTCGGCAGTAGAAAAAAAACTGCTGCTAGAGATTAAGGTACTGATACAAGAGAGCTTAGATCCCCAATGACAAGCATGAAAAAAACAGGAAAAATAAAGGAGGTGTGTGGGAAAACAAACTACCCAGACTTGTCAAAGCCAGGACCTCGACTGCCTTCACGAAATGGCTTGAGGGGATCCCAGGATCAGTTAGCTACTGGGCCAAAATGGGCTGAATGTTTTTCCTTTCTTCTTTATGCACAATGCATGAGGAGCATTAGCCTGTGTGAATAATTGCCCTTGTGGAGCATAGCCATGCCAGGAGAGCTTTATCCAGCGCCACCGATGGTCTGCAAGATGCGATCAGGTCTGGGAGCATAAAACCTCTTTTAAACAGTGCAACACTGAAATACACCCCTCAAAACAGCTCAAAAGCTGAAGTTACTCCAATATCAGCAGCCGTATGTTGAAACTTGTAGACCCCACCACCACCACTTAAGGCTAAATCGATTTATAAAATGCAACAGGATTGTTCCATATATAAAAGATGGACAGGATTTACTGGAAGACCGATGTGTAGTGTCCAAGTGCTACACTTACATGCTTCTTGATAAATCTCGTAGGCAGCATCCTCATCGCTAGCGAAGACTCCGATGATGAAGACGTCGTCTCCGTCTTTGACGGATTCCTGGACCTGCTTGAGCGCCTGGACCTGCTTTGAGGGAGGCCCCGCCTGCTCGATCATATAATCGACGATGCCTGGGTAGAGAGCAGACGACACGCGCTGGAATTATCCACCGGCTGCCCGGAGACCGCTGCGCAGGCTTTCCGAATCGCGTCCGCGTCACGTTGAAGCCCAGACTCTCGCTGTTGGCCTGTTGCGGGACAAAGCCCAGCGAGCAATTTGGAGGCAGTGCTGTACAAAATATATATATAAAAAGAGGCCAATCCCATTCATTCAAGATGAAGCGTTGAAGAAGATACTCCCGAGACCAGAGCCGCGTCCAGACGTACTCGATCCCGGCGGGAGAGGAGCGCTCCAGACTCACCGTACTTCTCCCGCGGCCCGTTGTACTCGAAGGCCTTGCCCTTCCGGAAGATCTTGAGCGTCGGGTAGCCGGAGACGTCGAACCTCGTCGCCAGCTCGGCCTCCGCCGTGGCGTCCACCTTGGCCAGCGGGACGGGCGGGGTCCGCGCGCTCAGCTCCTTGGCCGCCTTCTCGTACTCCGGCGCGAGGCGCTTGCAGTGGCCGCACCTGGGCGAGGGGGAGAGCAGCCGGGCGATTCACCGCGAGGCGAGAGCGAGGCCGGACGACGGCGCAGCGGAACAGACAAGCGGACAGAGGCGCGCCGCCGACTTCGCCCGTGAAGGCAGGAAACAAAGCCCAGCACGCAGGCCACCCCCCCCACTGCCCCCTGCAGATTTCTAATCGGGGTTAGTGAGCGTACAGGCAGTGCCGGAGGCCGAGTTTCAAAAAAAAATATGAGTTTACAGAATTAAGATGAAGGAAATAACGAGAGAATCTCTCGGCACCGCGCACAATACTTGGGGCGTCACAACCGCCTCACCAGGCGATAAAGGGCACTCACCAGGGCGCGTAGAACTCCACCAGAATGATGTCGGCTTCGTTAACCACGTTGTCAAAGTTGTCCTTCGTCAGGACTAGCGTGGCTTCTGGGGGCGGGGTCCAGTCCGGCCGGGCCACTTCCTTCACTCGGGATACGATAGCTGCGCGGAAGAGGCAGGGATCGTCACCGCACTTGGGGAAGACCGCCAAACAAAGGCAACTCGCTGTCCAGAAGCAAATCCGACAACGGACTGCAAAACCACTTCTGGTATTTAAAGATGTGCAGCATGGCCCCGGACAACGGAGTGAACTCGAACTCGCCTCGTGCGCTTTCCTAGCAGTGAAACGCCCAATTACAACCTCACCATCTGAAAGCACCCCCACTAACCCATCCAAAGCTCAGAGCAGAGAGAGCACACCTCCCTCGGGCACTAACCTTGCTCCGTTCGCTCCCCGTCATAGTCCACCGGCTGGCCCCTCTTCAGGATTTTGATGGTGGGGTATCCACTGACCTCGAACCTGGAGCCCAGGCCACTCTCGGCCGTAGCGTCCACCTTGGCCACTGGGATCGGGGGGTCGTGCTCCTTCAGAGTCTCCGCGATCTTCTCGTACTCGGGAGCAAACTGCTTGCAGTGCCCGCACCTGGAGAGCAGCGAGGTGGAGTCACAGGAGAGTCAACCTCAGGGTGCTACAGAAAACCTGAGGAGCGCAGCTGATCTACTTTCGCTTTCAGCCACGACACAGAAACGAGACCTGCGACCGCCCGGTTTCAGCATTCGACACCCGCCGGCAGCGGCGCGTCTGGGCAGGCCGGGGACAGGAGCTGACCGGGACACTCCCGAACAGGCTGGGCAACGCAGGCGCGTCACGGAAAAAACGACCGGCACGCAAAGATTAGAGGGACAAGCCGGCAGTATCCGGGAAGGGAAAAGTAGGAAGGAGAAAAACAAGTCACAGCTTCCTTCAATCTGAAAGTACAAAATAATGTTCTAGTGCGGAGGCCGTCAACATCAGGGGTGCTCAAAGCCAAGCCCCCTCCGCTCCAGGTTTCATGTCTCTTACGAAGTTGGTTCAATCAATTCACTCAAGTGGCCACTCGGACCACCCTCTGGTGGTCTTTCCCTTTCCCGGGACTGGACTTCAGACGCCCTTTCCCGACCGAGCTCTGCCCACGGATAACAGGGAGCTGGGAACTCACCAGGGAGCATAGAACTCCACCAGCACCGTGTCCTTGTCCGCGATAAAGGAGTCGAAATTGGAGTCTTTCAGAATCAGTACGCCGTTTTCTTCTTTGACCTCGGTGCCATCATCATCATCATCATCATCGTCGTCGTCATCATCATCATCATCATCCTCACTCACGTCTCCAGCATCATCTGTGAAACAGTGCTGTATGACTTAAGTGGCAGAAAGCAAGAGTACCGAAAAATATCTTCCATCCGTTCACAGGACAAGCAGACTCTAGACCCACAGTCCACACAGGGAAGCTATTTAACCCCGCGTTTTGCATCGCACGGGTACCGCTATCTTGCGTTTATTTTTTTACAAATCGCATCCCCATTTGTGTGACATTACACACACCAACGGAAAAAACACCAACAAAACATTTTTAATTTCTATAGGCGGAATATTTAAAGAACGCGTAATCAATTCTAACGCCGACGAGGGCAACACACGTTTTCCTTTTCCGCGTTTACCTGCAAGATCAAAAGTCAACAGAGAGCCGAGGACAGAGAGACCTTGCTGGGGGGGGCGGTACCACTAAGCGACACCTGTAGCCAAGTCTTATCTTCTCGACGGTCTGCTACAAACCACTGTTAAGAAAAAGGTCGCGTATCCTTCTCACACAGGACCTGAAAACTGTTTCATCCAGGGGACAACAGCTCTCAAGACAAACAGAATCAACACGGCGTACCGACTGTATACCAGCTGCCGGAAATACAAACACTCAAGAAACAATATCATCATCGACATAGTTGCTGCTGTAACTAACTGTACAGAAGTCATTAAAACCCAAGTTCAACACAGCCCTCGGCACCAGAAGCCCCGGTGTCGTATTTGTATGCGGTCCTCTCCTCGCCACTACGGTACTGCAGGTAGCGCTAGACGTGAGCACCGCCGGCCAGCTCACGTTTTAATTGATAACCAATCATTAATGGTCCGGAAGATAGAAAACAGGGTTTCAAAGATACGCGTCGTGTAAACATTAAACTAAAAAACAAACAAACAAACGTGGTTCGTCACTTCTAAATCCTATAGGAACTGCATGCCTTTTCATCCACACTGAATTGTTACCAAGCCCGGTCTTTCTCACCCAAAGAAAATCACGCGTTGTGGATGAAAAATATAACCGATGGGAGACCGCTCGCTGGGTCATTTCGCTTCTAATCGACTCAGGCTTCACAAGAGAAAATTCCCTGCGCGCAACCATCCACTGGCATTCCGGGACGGGTCTAACGACAGCAACGAACAACGGTGGGGGGAAAAACTAAATGAAATCTGAAATTCAATGCACGTTTAACGAGTGGAATAAAAAGGCAGACGAGTACAACTTACCGCTTTCCTCGCAGCTGGCCAGCAGGGCGAGATGGGCCAAGCCCAGCAACGCCAGAAGCAAAAACGCCTTCTTTACCTTCATGGCAGGTTTTGTTTTTTTTATTTATTTTGCGAGTGTGTGATTTACAGCGTCTCGAATGGAGGTCCCCTTCTTCCGACCCGCACTGTCTGGGGAGGGTGATGCACAGCCGCGCTAGCACTAGTGGGGTGCCCAGTCGGCCGGCCTGGTACCTGCAGTGAGTGCACAACGCACAGTATTCAATGCGCAGTGCACTGGACGCTGCTGCCACCTCCGCCTGTCTCTCTCTCGCTTGCAGACTCTGCCCGGGTCTGTCCCCAGCCTCCCGCAATAAGAGAGACGCGCACTCAGCCCCAGTGTTTGACTTGAGGGCGTCGGACCTGGAATCCACTGAGGTGCCGCGCTCCCATTGGCCTTTCAGGGTCGGGGCTCCACCAATCGCGCCCTGCCACTGGGTCCCGGGGAGCCAGGCACGTTCCGGGCGGCGATTGGCCCCCCGCTCAATGCGCGGCGCCCCCATTGGCCGGCCGGCCTCCCCTCTCCCCACGTGGGAGGACGCGGAGCGACCGGGGGGGGCGGGAGTTCTCCTGGACACGCCCAGGACAGGGAGAGCTGTCCGCTTGCACCTGAGGCGTCTGCGCCCATGCGGGGACAGGAGAGCAGCCGCGGTTTGTGCCAGGTGAAGTATTGACTTCGACAGGAGGCCGCTTCACAAATAAACGAGCAGAAGGCTGCTTGGCCCACCCCTGCATCAATGCATGAAGCAGGAATTGTTCACCCAGAGGTTTATTCATCTTTCCGTTTCCCTA